CTTTGTAGGCCTACCACTGGCCCGAAAAATTGTAGGCCGGGCCAATCACAACATTCTATGTTTGTAGAGAGACGTTGGGCGAGCTTAGGGCCAGAGCTGTGATGAGAAAAAAACTACAAAGATGGCGTCGGCTCAGGAATGACACTCCTTTAAAACGGCTTTGGCATCAGCTGAGGATGATATAGACACAGGCTTTTCTTTGAGACATTCAAGCTTGGTTTATGCTTTATGAGGTCCGCACGGCTCCGCGCGGCAAAATTGCGTCATTTTAACAACCACGCCCCTCCACCGCGCCTCCGCACGGCCCAAACTTTCCGTACCGCGCACCTAGGAAATTTTCTAAACACGCGGACGGTCGGACGCGGAAAAACATGGTGGAATGGCAAGAACTAGTATGGCAGAGGTTCGTAAAAACAGACGTTTGTATGATTCAGCTCTCAGAGATCACCGTGATCAACATGTTGTTAATAATTCTTGGAGAGAAATAGCTCGCACTGTCGGAAAAGACGAGGACGCTGTTAAAAAATGCTGGAATGCCATGTTGTAAACAACAGTAATTTCTACTATGGTGTAGTGTTGGATGCATGCCGTAGAGCTCCATGCTGCCCCCTACAGTTTGGGAGAATATTGGCTCACCGCAGAGACAAGCCGCATGAACCATAAACGCTGCAAGTTGTGAAGCGCGTTCCGTCCGCGAGCCGCATCACCAAGCGGAAAGTAAATGCTTCAAGCATAAACCAAGCCTTAGCTGAGCTAGACCCGTTCAAATGTCAAAATCTCCTCTTCCTCTTTGTCACGTAGGTGCATAATGAACACTTTCACATCAATGTAGCTTCTTATACTTAGATTTGCTCTACATCCGTTTTAATTCAAGTACTGCATCACTTAAATGTACAAAAACATAAGCAGAATTCACTCTAGGCTATGTTTAATATTTACCCAGCAAGTTTTATAGGGAACTCTGGAAAATGACCAAATTCAGCAGGTATGAAAGTGAGTGCCTGGAAACGTCTTCTTCACATTTTCTTTTATTCAATTCAATTCAATTCAAGTTTATTTATATAGCGCCAAATCACGACAAGAGTCGTCTCAAGGCACTTCACATAATATACATTCCAATTCACAATTCACAATTTATCTATTTATTTATTTTTGCTGGCCTTCGTATTGCTTTCACGTGCTTGATGATGCTGCAGATACAGCAGAGTATTGAAGAGCAACATAAATGGAGGAGAAAGGGCCTTTTTCTTTAATCTGTTAAACTGCCTGCTGTCTGAGCATCACTGTCAAGTTGCTTCGGATCTGAGAAACCCAACAACCTACTTCTCACTCTCACCAGCTGCGATCCAGTACACAACAACATTTTAGAAAGAGCCACTGTATTTGTAATTTTTACATTTGACAGCATTTATTTGAATAAATGTAACGTGATGAAGGAGCCATTTCTCAGGGTTATTATCCTCTAACAACTGTTCCCTTTTGACACAGCGCCAGAGTGCATGAAACAGCCTCAAGGTCATGCATTCGCTTCTAAACTGTTTACGTTCCAGCAATGAAGATAGAAGATGAAGACTCCTTTCTTTTCTTGTATTAAAAGCCAAAGAACTCTGTTTTAATAAAGCTAATCCATCAAATGGGCCATTCCCATCTGTACCGGGTCGGTCCGGGCCGGGTAGCCCCAGTCGGCCTCAGCCTGGCCCGGTTGATTCCACACATCCTTGTCTTAAGCTCATGTGGGCTGATTCTACCCACCAATCAGAGGCTTGCTCCAATGGAAGGTGTGAATTTGCTGTCAGCAGTGGGTGTGTTGGCCCTGGTCGGCCTGAAGCAGACCCCCTCGAGAAGAGGGCTGAGAATGAGCCTTGGTTGGCCCGGAAAAATACCAGGCCACCCAGATATGTAAACAACCTACGCTACCCGGCCCGGGCCGACCCGGTACAGATGGGAATGGCCCAAAAGTGTTAGTCAATATAATAAGATGTGACCGACCTGTGAATTCAAAATATTAATTACTTTATCATGATCCTGTAGAATATAATAAGTACTGTGACTTTAAGTGTTCCAACAGGACTCATTTCACGTAGAGTTAAAAGGACACAACACATTACTTTCACTCATCCAATCAGAATCTCACAGATCTGATGGAGGTGTGCTTCTGACGGCGTTTGGTAATTTTCATTCGACAATAAACCATAACATCCGAGGTATAAAACTATGCCACGTCAGCTCTAACGCCAGTTCAAAGCGTTCCAGAGCAAGCGACGGAGTGGCCAATCCTGACCTTTAACTCTTTAACCGAAAGAACAACGACAAGCTGAAAAATCCAGTCGCTATAACAACCAGCGGCAACAACAGCTCCTTTAAGAATAAAAGCTCCACCGACCCAGGCTTGGGTCTGACCAGACGCCAATAAAAGTGTCGTGTGCCGGAAGTAACTCGAGACGGGTCTGATCGGGACCGCGGCTTCTCCTACCAGCTCGGCTTCCAGAGAAGGTTCACTGGACCTCGATATTCCTGATCTACAGAGGACTTCCACCGAAGGCAAAGGTAGACCGACATGATGGGGTCTCATGCTGATTCTGAAACTAACCAAAGCTTAATTCAAAACAACATCCTCAGTTCCCGTCAGAACTAATCGCTTCTTCGGATTTGCTGGTTCTGATTTAACATCACACGTCATCCATTCACCGCCTCATCCATTTTAGTTACACTATACATTTAGTTTTAGAGACAGTCTAGTTTTAATTTGTTAGTAATAAAAATCTTAACTTTTAAACTTGACTCTCTCTATTCTGTTGTCTCTGAGTGAATACATAACGGTTACCTAATCTCTGCAATAAAAAGATCCAATGACCCGCACTTGTATAGCGCCTCTCAGAGTAAAGACTCCAAAGTGCTTTACACTACAGTGTATCATTCATCCATTCACACACTCATTCATACACTGGTGGAGATGAGAGGCGAGGCTGCCGAGCACAGGCGCCACCGGACCCTCCGACCACCACCAGCAGGCAAGGTGGGTTAAGTGTCTTGCCCAAGGACACAACAGCTGAATTCTCCGTCCGGAGCCGGGATCGAACCGGCTCCGTCCAGAGCCGGGATCGAAACTGCAACCTTCCGATTACAACCTGCAACCTTCCTGCAACCTTCCGATTACTGGACAACCCACTCAATCTTCTGGTTTGAATAACCCTCGATCCGTAGGGTGGATTCTATATTTCCTATGGAATCCCACGCCTTATGGCTCATTAATTAAATGTAATAATCTCATTTCATTACATAAAAAAGGAGCTTTTACTTATTAAGCATACCCTAACTTTAGAAAAATTAATCCACAATGATCTACTCCTACTGCCATTCAGAGTATAAGTTCCCTTAAATTTTAGTTTGGTTATTTCGTAACGTCTCGTTTCTACATTGCCACGAATATTTCTGAGTGTAGTGATGTAGCTGCTAAGGACACGCTAAGAGAAATCAATTATTTCCACATTATTACGACATCATTGTGTTGAGAATAGTTTTAAGCCGATGCCACAAAGCTACCAAGATCATTTTTCAGTTAACTCCTGAATGAAGTTTACACCTATAATCCTCTGATGACAATGTGCTTCCACCAGGGATTAAACAAACAGGGTGTGGGTACCATATCGTCAGGGGAAGATGAAGAGTTTGTGGTGTGTGTGCCTGCTGTCCAAAGACATGACAGCGCAGCACACCTGCCACACCTGTCCCTCTGGAATGCATACAGCTTATGTTTGTGTCTGCATGCAGAGACGCTGATAAAGGTGGTCACACTCGGCGTGCGTTTATCATGGGAGGCATTTCTTAAAGCATTTAGGGAGTTTTCTCTTAGGGGACTTTCGAAAGGATGCTGTAAACTGCTTCTTTCCAGCTCGACAGAAGAATGAAGAAGGACTCTCTGTTTAATAAATCACAGAACTCTATTTTAATAAGCTAATCAAACAAAGTGTTAGTCAATAATAAGATGTGACCAATCTGTGAAATCAAAGTATTAATTACTTTATTATAATCCTATAGAATATAATAAGTAATATGACGTTAAATGTTTCCACTAGGACTGATCTCATGTAGCGTTAAGAGATAACACATTGCTTTTACTGATCCAATCAGAATCTGCCAGATCTGACGGAGGCGTGGTTTTGGTGGTGCTCGGTAAATCTGTCATCTTTTCATTCAACCATAAACCAAAACATCCGAAGTATAAAACTATGCCCACGTCGTCTTTAACGCCAGTTCAAAGCGTTCTAGAGAAGTTGTCGGAGTGGCCAATCCGTAACTTTCCTCTTCAGCCGAAAGAACCAACGACAAGCTGGATAAAATCTGTTGCTGTTCCAACTGCTGCAACGGTTCCTTTCAGAATAAAAGCTGAACCATCACGACCCAGGTGGGTCTCACCAGATGCCAACAAACTGTCGTGAGCCGGAAGTATCTCAAGACGGGTGGTCAGCTGCCGCGGCTGCTTCTACAAGCTTCGGCTCCATAAGGTCAAGCTGGACCTCTACACCTCCTGATCTAAAGGGGACTTCCGCTAAGGGTACGTAGACCGACAAATGGCGTCGAATGTGTTTATGAATCTCCTAACCAAAGCTTAGCGCGAAGACATCACCTTCATTTCCTATCAGAACTAATCGTTTCTTCGGATTTGCTGGTTCTGAGCAACATCCCACACTACACCATTCTTCGTCTCATTCACCTTAGTTACACCATACATTTGGTGTTAAAGTTAGTCTAATTTAATTTGTTTAGTAATAAATCTTTAAACTTTTAAACTTGACTCTCTCTTCTGTTGTCTCTGAATTAATACGAGGTTGTTATCTAATCTCTTCAATAAAAAGTTCCAATCTTCTGGTTAAACCGTACCCACAGATCCATAAGGGTGATTTCATATTTGCTATGGAATCTTATGTCTTATGGCTTATTAAATAACATGTAAATTAAATTCATTACAATAGGATGATTCAACGAATGAACGTACACACCTGAGGATCTGAAGTTCCTCTTTTGAGTTCTGCAACTCATCAGAAAGTCGCCTCCACCTCAGTAACGCCTTCAGTTCAAATTGTTCTGCTTTGTCTTTTAAAGAGAGCTGCGGAGAAACAGAAAAGATGGTTTTTACCGTCAGATGCTGACAAGAAGCATGAAAGCTGTGCAAATTTCAACAAACCAACTCAAAGAATGTGAGTCAGAAATCTGTCTGGCTGTGTCTGAATATGTTTCTAATGGAGGCCAAGTTTATGCCACAAAGGTGTTGGGTTAAACATTAAAAAGCTAAAGAAAATCATTTTGTATGTCTACATGGTGTGGGAATGCCAGAAGAAGGATTAGGTTCACACGCACATTAACTTCTGGATTAAAACTAAAGCGCTGCAACCACTTATGCATGCATACCAGAGCTCCACCCTTTTCTTCTGCCACTTTACAATTTTTGTTCTGCTAATATTCCCCGAGTTCAGGCTGAAGGTAAACACATCAAACAAGCTTCCACAATAGCCTCAAAATTACAGTAAAAGTCCGATTTGTTCTCCTTTATCCGTGTTCACTTTTAACAACTGTGTGGGTTTCATGTTTTTGATTTATACAGTGGTTGGCTAAAGAAAATCCCTTCCTCTTTCATGTTACTTGGACAGCTCTACTAGTGGTTTTGCTCCTTGTGCAGTCTATTTTTTTTAATAGTTTTTATAAACTGTCCTCATGTGAGCTTAATGATACAGTATATGGATTCACTACAGGATTGTCACTGGCAACTAGAGTCAGGATGCACTCTGAATGAAGATAAGACTGAGATCCTCATCTGTGCCTCAGACAAGCTGGTTCCCAAAGTCAGAGACTCTCTTGGTCAGCTTGCTTCTCACACCAAACCTTCTGTCAGGAATCCTGGCGTGACCTTTGACCCTGGATTCTCATGTCAGTTCTCTTGTTCGCTCTTCCTTCTTCCATCTCAGGAACATTGCTGAGTCCCATTCTGTCCCGCTCTGAACTTGAGACAGTTCTCCACACCTTCATCTCCTCACGCTTAGACTACTGTAACTCTCTTTTCATGTGTCTGAGCAGAACCTCCCTGAACCGTCTACAGGTGGTTCAGAACGCCTGTGCTCGGCTTCTGACCAAGTCCTCCAAACACACCCACATCACCCCGCTTCTCCTCCAGCTTCACTGGCTGCCAGTCAACTTCAGGGTTCATTTCAAGATCCTGGTTCTGGTCTATAGGGCCTTACATGGACAAGCACCATCTTACATTGGTGATCTTCTTTGTCCCTACACCCCCAGCAGGTCCCTGAGAACCAGTGATCAAAGCCTACTGGTTGTGCAGCACCAGGCTAAAGACCAAAGGTGACAGATCATTTGCTGCTGTGGCCCCCAGACTCTGGACCTCTCTCCCCTGAGCCTGAGATCAGTGGACTCAGTGGTCTCCTTTAAAAAGCAGCCGAAGACTCACTTGTTCAAGCTGGCTTTTGTATGACCTTCTTCACCCTCTCTTTATTCAGCTCTCCCCACCTATTCCACCTTCCTCACGATCCACTGATTTCCCTCTTTCCTGTTCACTCTCTCTCTTTCTTAACATTTGAATCACAATTGTCTATTTTTTGCTCATTTTAAATATATTTTTTAACCATTTTCTAAATTCTTTTCTATATTTTTACATTTTTTTGTTTTTGTGAAGCGTCTCGTGATTTTTATCTTGAGAGGCATCTTGAGAGGCGCTATAGAAATGATTTCTTCTTCTTCTTCTTCTTCTTCTTCTTCTTCTTCTTCTTCTTCAGTTAATGCATCAAGCTAATGACAAGAAAGTATAAAATGTGACAGACACCTACATCTGTAATGTTTTAAAATAAAGTTCAAAGACATGCATGTTTATTAATATGTGAAATTCCTGTTTTTGTCTTTTTAAATTATAATTTTTTCCAACATATTTTAAAAAGGAGCGACGACTTGTCTGCAGGTGGGCTGGTCAAACATGAGCTCATCTATGCGGTGCACAGTGAAGTCTGACATTTTCTGGCTGAAGAAACTGCAGACCTCCCAGGAAAAGATGATGAAAGCATGTGTTATCAAAATTCCACTACAGGCCTCTGCATCTAATTCAAGTCACCCACTTTGGGACCTGAAGCTTCTCGTATCATACCAGACGTTGGCTTTTGCACTGATAACTGCCTGGATGGTTTTTCTTTTTCCTTGGCACAGATGCACCCAACTATCCATTTTCCCCCAAAAGAAAGCAAGAAAATGGGCTCATCTCACCAGAAAAGATGTGTCCAGTCTTGTTCTGTCCATGTGAGATAAGCCCATTTCTGGAAAACTCAACCATGTATCTGCACTTAGTTAATATCAGGCTTTCTTCTTGTGTAATGCAGTCGCTGCATACAGAGGAAAACTCTGTTGAGCTACTCATAAGACTTCAAAGGTTGCAGTGGCATGCAGAGTGGAGCCATGAAGGCCAAATGCACCAAACTGTTGAATACAGCTTTGACTTACATGCACACATTCCTCAGAGTCCCTGAATTATTTCAACATATTACACGCTGTGTATGGACGGATGGATGGACATTGCACACTGTACTTATAACTATTGATGTTGTAATTTGGGCCAAACCAATAATTATCTGCAGACTGTAGAATCAGCCATACCTTCAAGTACAAGCATTTAGCTTACTGATTTAATTTGCTACAGGGCCGAAGGGTGTGCTCCAACCAGAGGGGATGACACCCCTGAACCTCCCTGGTAAGGTCTATTCGGGGGTTCTGGAGAGGAGGGTTCGATGGATTGTTGAACCTCGGATTCAGGTGGAACAATGTGGTTTTTATGCTGGCCGTGGAACACTGGGCCAGCTCTATACCCTTAGGGGGGTCCTGGAGGATGCATGGGAATTTGCCCCACCAATCTACATGTGTTTTGTGAATGGCGTTCAACTGTGTCCCTTGGGGGATCCTGTGGGGCAACACATTCTCACTCCCAGCGCGTCAAAAACAAATGCTTGGTCAGCCACCCTCAAGCGTCAGACGCCAAAAGTGCCCTTTTTCGTCACTCATGTGCGAAAAGAGGTTTTTCCCTTTTCTGACTGCAGATCCCAATGCAGCGTAAAACTGACGCGATCGGATGTCCGCAGCCAGGGCACCAAACGAGCTCATTGTACTTCACCCTAACCTTATCCTCTTGTTATTTAACCTCCCCCTCACCCCCATCCTAACCTTAACCGTCTTGCTAGCTAACACGTTAGTGATGTGTCGGTCGCTCTAAAAGCCGGCTCTATGAAGTGAACGGCGGGAGCCGCCAAGTCATTGGTCGGGTTTGGACCGAGGCAACGCGAGGGGAAGGTTTCAACTACCAAGGTGGAGGTTAAACGTAGAGGGTACTTGTAACCTCCCCCTCGCCAGATGGTATGTTCTAACGTTCCCCTTGGGCGGCAAATATTCACAGTCAGAATGCATGGGAAACAAACGCTTGATCACAGTGAGAGTAACGTTTTAGGTAGCAAGAGGGTTAAGGTTAGGAAGAGGGTGAGGGGAAGGTTATAAATAGCAAAACGTTAAGGTTTAGGTGTGGTTAAATGAGCTGGCTCGGTGCCGCATCAGCGGGCATCCCATCGTGTCAGTTTTACGCTGCATTAGGATCTGCAGTCAGAAAAGGGGAAAAACCCCTTTTGCACATAAGTGACGAAAAAGGGCACTTTTGGCGTCAGGGGTCTGACGCGGAGGGTGGCTGACCAAGCGTTTGTTTTTGACGCGCTGGGAGTGAGAATGTGTTGTGTGGGGGTACTTCAAGAGTATGAGGTACCAGGCCCTCTGATAGGTCCCTGTATGACCGGTGTCAGAGCTTGGTCCACATTGCCAACTGTAAGTCGAGCTCATTTCTGGTGCTAGTAGGACTCTGCCAAGGCTGCTCTTTGTCACCGATTCTGGTCATAACTTTCATGGACAAGATTTCTAGGCATGGCTAAGGTGTTGAGGGGATCTGTTTTTGTGGCCTAAGGATCAGGCCTCTGCTATTTGCAGATGTGGTCCCGTTGGTTTTATCAGACAGTGACCTCCAGCTTTCGCTGGAGCGGTTCACAGCCAAGTGTGTGTGTGTGTGTGTGGGGGGGGGGGGGGGGGGGGGGCAGTTGGGATGAGAATCAGCTCATCTAAATCCGAGACCATGATCTTAAATCAGAAAAGGGTAGAATGTCTTCTCCGGGTCGGGGATGAGGTCCTGTCCCAAGTGGAGGAGTTTATATATCTCTGGGTTTTTTTCACAAGTGAGGGAAAGATGGATCGCAAGATCAATAGGCGGATTGGTGCTGTGTCTGCTGTGACGCGGGCGTTGTACCGGTCTCTTGTGGTGAAGAGAGAGCTGAGCCGGAAGGTGAAGCTCTTGATTTATGCGTCGATCTACGTTCCTACCCTCACCTATGGTCACGAGCTTTGGGTCGTGACCGAAAGAACGAGATTGCAGATACAAGCGGCCGAAATTAGTTTTCTCCGCAGGGTGGCTGGGCCTTCCCTTAGAGATAGGGTGAGAAGCTCAACCATCCGGGAGGGGCTCGGAGTAGATCTGACGCTCCTCCACATCGAGACGAGCCAATTGAGGTGGCTCGGGCATCTGATCAGGATGCCTCCTGGACGCCGCCCTGGTGAGGTTTTCCAGACACGTCCAACTGAGAGGAGACCTAAAGGAAGACCCGATGAAGGGACTCTGCTGGCCCGGGAATGCCTAGAGGAGCTGGTCCAAGTGGCTGGGGAGAAGGTGGTCTGTTTTCTAAACTGTAGTTTCCAAACTACAAATATGTTTGTGAGCGAAAATTAATAAAAATATTTTTGTTCTATCATTTTTGTCAAAATAAGGTGTAAAAAATTAGCAAATTACAGATTTATGGTATTTATGTATTTCAGAGGTTTGTACTATTTTTTAATAATATTAAATCACAAGCAGAGATACATAAAACCACAGTCATCACTCAGGGAGGTGTACTTGTTGTGCTTGGGCCCATATAATGTCCTCCAGGCAGGTAGCAAAACCCTCGCTGATCCATTCCTCGGTCCAATCCCTGGCTCCGATGACCAGGCCGAACCAGGAGTGAGCGATCTCGTGGCAGATCCTGGAGCCACACAGAGACAGGCTGCTCACTCCAGAACCAGGACTTCCAGGGAACAACACACTCTGGGACAGGAAGATGATATGGGGACTGTGGGGAGAGAATAACGTGTAGAATAAACATGACCACACAAAAACTTACGTTAATTCTCTGGAGAGAAAAACAAAAGACTACTGGAGAGTAAACATCTACATCTTTGAATAGAAGCCAGGAAAGCGTACCGGGAATTACGAGGAAACACGACGGTAAGACATATGAGAATATAATGAACCTTCCTTCAACACCATCGGGTTTCTACTCCACACCTTTATTTACTGGAATGTTGGGCCTTAATGCAAAAAATAAAAAAGTCAGCAGATGCTGTAGTAAGTAGTTGCAAATGGCTTATTTTTTTCTCATCCTGCTTATTTATTATGTGTAGGAAAAAGCTATTTACTCAAACAGCAACCCTTCAATCATGATGCGAAGAAAATAGAAAAGGTTCAACACAATTTTCCAGGGTGGATAAAGTATCCAAAGTCCGACAAAAATCTCAGGAATTATGTCTGCAGTTATGCTACAGAGGAGCTAATACCTAATAATACAGCTTAATTTGATTTTTGCCTATAAGAATGTTTCATTAAAAGCTCTGAGTTAACCCTTTATTGGGCACATTAGACACTGTTTTTATATTTAAACACTTCTGCTCACATTATTAATCAGGACAATTTTCACCACACCAGTGTGTGTGACAACTATGTAACTTTAACTTTTCCTTGGTAATCTGTTTTTAAAAAATATTCTTTATTTTGTAATAATTGTAAAATATTCGGTATTTTCCTGCCATAATTCCTAATGTAACGCAGCTGTACAACATGACCATTTTGCATGCTAGCTAACATAGTGTGGCACTTTTAGAGTTTTTAAGAGTTTGTGGTTTATTCTTTGGTTGATTCGTCAGCACGAGATATTAGAGGTGTAGAATGAGAGCGTGTGAAGAGGGGCAGATACACGTCTCAGGCTCAAAGCATGAAAGCTGGCAGCCCTGAAATAAAGTTTGTTTGTTTGTTTGATAGATAGATTATTGAAGGACCTCTTTAAGTGAAATTTGCCAACAGAACATTCCATCTGTTAGATCGTTTTGGGACGCTGCTGTAAAAAAAGTGAGACGTGAACCAGAAAAGCTTCTGCCGATCACCATTCAACAACGGATTATGAAAGAACGGATGACGCTCGAAACACGCGGATTCTTCCTGATGTAAGAGACGAGTCTACTCTTTGTTTTGGTAGTTTTGGCGTTGACATCATCATAAGCCCCCTTCAGACAGGCCATGAAAAACGGAAATGTTCCGGACTCTGTCCGTAAGACCTCTGTGTCTGAATACAAACATCCGGATAACGTGTTCCGGAATGTAACCGGACGACGCCCCTAGTAACAGGTCCGGAATTGTTATGGACAGGGTGGCTGCTTCAGACTGGTGAGGTAAAGTTCCGGACAAGGGGGAGGGGGAGGAGAACGGGGGACGCTGTGCACACCTAGGTAGCCCGCTGCTGTAGCATGCAGCGAACCACGGCAACTCGCCTCCTACGGTACCGCCTAGACGCGCGACGGAGCGCTTCACACCGCTTCAGTGATTCCTTTAACCATTGAGCTTCATCATCCACGTCTCTTATGCGTCTTCGTGTGCGCAGAATTATGCTTAAGCACCTTGTGATTTTTATCTTGAGAGGCGCTATAGAAATGACATTTTCTTCTTCTTCTTCTTAACATAAGTCCGATTCTCCCCCCACCCCTCCCACCCCCACCCCGCCGCCGTCAGACTTCTGGGACTTTTCCCTGCTGTGTGAACGCAGCCGAAAGGACAAGTTCCGGTACAAAAGTGGTGTGTCTGAAAACACAGTTCCGGTTAAAAACCGGATTGAATTGTCCGCAAATGTTCCAGAATGTCAGTCTGAAAAGGGCTTAGACTGTGACTCTGTGACTCTTAAAAGAAAAACTGTGAAAACGTTGAAAACCGCTGGCAGCAAAGGGCTTTTCTGATCATGAAACGGCTGGCAGTTAATGAGTTAAGGAAAACACCACAAACTTCTCTGTTCCTCTGTTGCCCCGCCCGCGTGCTTGGAGACTTTTGCATTCCGGAGAAGGATATGTGAACAAAATCTGGCTGAGTAGGGGCGAGCCAGCGCTACCAAGACCGGACCGGGCCAGGCCAGATGTGAAAATGCCAATAGAGGGCTATGAGCACAGGGGGAAGGATAGTCGGAGGGAAGTTTGAGGGGATGCATCATGATTATCAAGATTTAGAACAGGATTTTCCACGAGGACTAAACATTTAATGTACTGGTTGCCATCAGTATGTGAACAGCATTTCAAACAATATAACAAAAAATGCTCCAGAAAAAAACATCCCATACCGAATCCTTAAATGTTGAATATGGAACATGAACACCAAAGCAACATTTAGTGTGTGGAGGTTGTAGTTGCTGTTGCAACCCGACGGCTAGAACAAGGTTTCAGCCGTCGGGATACCAGGTGCTTCACCTACGATCCGACGACATCTTCTGGGCTCAGAAGCAGCAGGCTGACTTACAGAGTCCACCGTTTTCCACAGTGCCAGCCTCGCTGTGCCGAGTGGACTGTTTATCATATGTGGCAACACGCAATGGTGCCCTCTATTTGCCGGTAGATGTACACATAAATCCAGTGTCGTGCCCATCAAAATAAAATATTTGATTATTTTTTAATTAAAATATAGGTTTTAAAAGGGATGCTGTACCTGCATTCTGCACACCTCTAAACGCCCCGTGGCGGTATTATTTAGAAAGATATAGCTTTTGATTACATTTTTCCATATTCATCCGTTAATGTCAGATAAAAGTAAAAAAAATAAAAAATAAATCAACAGTCGAGTTACAATAATTGGAAGGAATGAAAATGTAATTTATAGTGGTACAATCTTCAACGATCAACAAGAACTCTGACATTGTTAAGCATCTTGACCATGACAACATTATGAAATGTTCATACATTTAGATTTGCTCCTCTAAGATCTGTAAAAATAAAATTTTTATCAAAAAAAAGATCAGTCACAACAACCAATCAAAGCCAAGGTCAAGGCTTCTTTTATTCTTGAGTTTTTTTTGTTACTTCACCTTTATGTAACGAGCTCTGAGCACCCCGTGGGGTTAGGGCCACCCGTGCGTGGGAGGGGGGGGCTATTATTCAATGAGAGAATGAGAAAAGGGGTCAGGGAGGTGTGGATGAATGGCCTCCCTCTCTGCTGATCCATATAAAACACTGGACTGTCTGGAGATCTCTTTGCACCCTTTAGATTTTAAATGCCCCGACCACCACTGGCACGACATCTGCAGGAGAATTTATGGCCAATTCTAAAGAAAGAAAAAACTCCAAGGGGTTTACTGCCCTGCTCCTTTGACAATAATGTTAAAGATGTATGAGAGATGCTACTTCACATCTAGATTTTACACAGATTTAGGTTTATGGGAGAATCCTGGATCAGCAAGTCATAAAGGGGTCAAACTACAAACTCTTTAAACAGCAATAATTTACTTGGTTGGCAAATTGACAGTTTAGTCCTATTGCCATAATGAAGAACACATACTGTTGCTACTGATTAATGACAATGAGCTAAGAAAGGACTTGATGTCATGAAGGAAAGATTAGCATCTTAATTTACCAGAGGAGTTATTTTCCCTTCACTGTGATCTAATTACAGTGACAGGATATGTTGATTATATAAAAAATATAACCTGAGTAAACACACAGGTTAGCCCGGGTTTATTTTGGAGGGAAAACTAAATTGGATAACAGAGCAGCAACACCACTCTTTATTTCCCTGATGGCTGTAGCATCAGATAAGAGGAAGTCCATCAGCTCTGTGTTATAGGAACATGTCATCTTCATAGAATAGGGTCTTATGAGCTTTATCTCTGTGGCAGCATCTCAAATCTAATTCCATGTTCTTTTTTTCCTGATTGCACAAACAAAGGACGTCACTGGAGCACAAGATGCTAACATTAGCCATATAAGTTTCTTTGTAGGCTAATCCTCTCCTAAAATTAAATAAGAATGTCTCTGTTGTCAGCTCCAGCGCCGCGTTTGTGTGCGTCTGTGTATGCGTGAGGTAGCGAGCGTGAAACACAAAGACAGCTTTTCAGAGACAGCGCTTGCACACGTTCCTCTGAGGGAGACGGAATCCATCTCTACAGTGACAAATAGTGTCATCCCACCATGGTGGCGATGAATAACAACAGCATCTTTCACGTTGGCTGATGCACTGACTGACATTGGCTGACATCAGGGACATGTGAGGGATAACATGCATGACGAAACTTTACAGATCTGTGCAGATGTAGCCTTCTGTGCATGAGTATATCTGAGCTGTCATCATTTTAACACCAGCTTACAAATTAGAAATGTGGTTTCCAGATAAGGGTGTTCATGAAACAATACCATGTTGTTTGCACATCTTTTAAATTTCTTCATATTTAAAACTTGACTAAGATTATTTACAGAAGCTTTTCCACCAACAGCTAAATCCACCACAAAGTCTTAATTAATCAGAATATATAACAATTTTGTTTTATGAATCCCTAGTAAGGTCCCAATACTCATTATAGGCCTGTATTATTGCTTACTGCCAAAATTTTATTTAAAGGGACTTTACGGACTTTTGAATTTTTATGCTCGCGATTGCCCCCTCAGGCCAAAAGCGTAACGGCAGCTTCAATAGTAGGCTCGTGCACGAGGCGCGCATGCTGTACGTGCACACTCCTTAACAAAAATAACAGTTGAGACAGTCATGTGTGTGTGTGTGGGTGGCCCAGAGGACAGAGGACAGGAGAACGCGCAGCTAATTAATTAAATAATTTGGTTCTGTACCTTTCTCTTCAGCACAGCCGACAAAGGCTTATGATGGGTCAGTCCTCCTGCATGCTCAGATCATTCCCTTCCCTTGCTTGAAAAATTGTTCCAAAATGAAAGTTGAACCCACTGTGAATTCAATGCCGTTCGGCGAGTCTCAAATAAAAATTTGGACATCTTACTGTAAAAAAAAAAACATTAATGTAAAAAAGAAACTCTAAATGAA